TTGGTATGCCTACACCGTACTTTGGGAAGATGATCGCGCATAAACTGATCGGTTATGAATACTACTCATTTGACAAAGAGAATTAGCATACCAAATATCCGAATCATTTGAATCTCTGGGTTCTATAATTGGTGTTCGATGTGCTGTTATAATTGGTGGAATGGATATGATGTCACAAGCAATTGCTCTGTCCAAAAAACCCCACATTATTATAGCTACTCCTGGGAGATTACATGATCATTTGGAAAACACAAAAGGATTTAGTTTGAGAAACTTGAAATATTTGGTAATTAACTTTATTATTTAGCGTAAAATCATTATTAATATGAACGACTGATCGATGTATGTTATTCGGACCAGGTTATGGACGAAGCTGATAAATTATTGGATATGGATTTTGGACCAGTTATTGATAAAATTTTAAAAGTGATCCCTAAAGAACGTCATACTTATCTCTTTTCTGCTACTATGACAACTAAAGTGGCAAAATTACAACGTGCTTCTCTAAATAGTCCGGTCAAGATTGAGGTTTCTTCAAAGTAAATACTTAATATTATGCTCTGTTCATTTGTACTTTGACTAATTTCGTTAATTTCGAACTTATTTATGTTTATTTTTTTGACTAGATATTCAACCGTATCAACTTTACTGCAATATTATCTATTTTTTCCTCTTAAACATAAAGACTGTTACCTTGTATACCTATGTAACGAACTTGCAGGAAACTCTATAATAATATTCACCAGGACGTGTAATGACACACAGCGTCTTGCGTTATTATTAAGGAACCTTGGGTTTCCTGCGATTCCTTTACATGGGCAATTATCGCAATCTAAAAGGTTAGGTTCTTTAAATAAATTTAAAGCCGGAAATAGAAATATTTTAGTGGCTACCGACGTTGCTAGCAGGTAAAAAATAGCGAATTTTCTTGTAAAGCTGTTCGATCTTCTTTCTTTGATAATAATTATATTTTTTACAATTCCATAGAGGCCTGGATATACCACTCGTAGATGTGGTAATTAATTATGACATTCCATCAAATAGCAAAGATTATATACATAGGGTAGGACGAACAGCTCGTGCAGGAAGATCCGGTAAATCCATCACTTTGGTTACTCAATATGACGTAGAGTTCTATCAACGTATTGAACAAGTGATCGGAAAGCAGATGGAACTATTTCCAATCGGTAGTAAAGAAGACGTTTTGCTGCTTCAAGAACGTGTTTCTGAGGCACAGAGAATTGCTACTTTAGAAATGAAGGAAGAACAGCAACAAAAGAAGGGAAGCAAAAGAGTTAAAAGTGAAGGAAATGATGATTATAAAGATAGGGAAGATAGAGATCTTGTCGTGTCTAATAAGTTGAGTAAAAAAGCAAAGAGAGTCAGGAGATGAATCGATTGATCCTTAAAAATTATGTATAATAGATAAATTATTGAACCATGCGGTTAAGTTAAAATTTTAACTGCATGATTCAATAATTTATCTATTATACATAATTTTTAAGGATCATTTGATTCATCTCCTGACTCTCTGCTTTTTTTACTCAACTTAGGTTCGAAAGCACTGAGTGATTCGAACCTTAGTTTAGAACTTAATGTGATGTTATTTTGAAAGTAAATAAATACACGTGCATTTTTTACATATAAATTTTTTTCGACCTAAATTTTGGGTAACCTATGGTGCGAGACACTTAAAGACTTCACAAACTTTAAATGCTAATAATATTTGATAGAAAAACAATATCATAAAAAATGAGCCACTATTTTGTAGTTTAACTAATTTACTACAACTTAGCGGCTTTATTTTTTAAAAAATCATTATATAGTTTTTCAATTAATGAGTTTAAAGATATAATATTTTCATATGATCCGTACAAATTTGGTCAAAAATGGGACAAGTCACATGTTTTGGCTTACTCCTATTGGTCAATTTTAAATTTATTTTAAAATTAAATTTTAAAATATTTTTAACAATTAATTTTTAGCCAATCAAAATGCGAGAATTCACAAAAACATTAAATTTCAATATAAAATTTTTTGAAAATGGGACAGATCACGTGATTTCAGTCTTTAAGTGTCCTGCACCATAGAAAGCGGAAACCGATTACCCCAGGGCGGACCCCTCAAAGTTCGGGTGATGATCGGCATCACATCACCTCACCTGCCGCAGTTATTGCAGCATATCGTTTTCGATTTTCATCCTACCCAAAACTTCATTTTAGCAGTAGTATATGTTCGTCGTTATTCAAATCTAGATAGCAAACGATTTATCTTTAATTAATAAATTACAGGTATAAATAACTAAAAAGAATCAAACCGATTTAATAATATTAAAATACATCAATCTAAGGCCTTTAAAAGAAATTCAATTTTTTTTGTGTGAAGTTTTCTTGTGAAGAATGAAATAACCTAAGAGTACTTAGTTATTATAATAAGGTAAAATTTTCAATAAACATATTATTTAATTTTTTATTCTTTTTTTGCGATTGCACTTCGTTTAATTCAATTAGTTCATTAGTTCAGTAGTTATAGATAACAGCTTGAGTAACGATTATAAGAAATTCGTAAATATTTTGTTATGGTCAGTAAAGCATTTAAGTGCATACTGATATATCTTTCGTTTTGAAAGAATGAATACTCGTATTAGTATACAAATTTTAACTTAGTTTTATAGCACGATCGATCAATTTATAGTATGTCTGATTTACTGGACCGCTTTCAAAATTCTATTATAAACCAAGAAATCTATTTTGTCATGGTTTTATATGTTAAAGACATTGTCAATTTTGTTTAATAAATAGATTATATACTTTAATAATAAATAAAATATATAGTTATTTCATTTTTAAATGTATTGTTATTTTATTTTTAAATGTATTGATATTTTATTTTTAAAATGTATTGTTAATATTCCCTTATTATCACGAACTAATTAATCTATATTCATTGTTCTATTGTTATTTATATTCCGGTATTTATGCTTCATTGATAGTGCATATAAAGAATTCAATCGTAACTCTTCGATAAATATCCAATTCCACAAAAAAACCAAAAAAACATTCATGAATGACTTAAATTACATAGTATTGCGATTTGTGACCTAAATTATTATTTTTTATATGTTGTAGTGATTGTGATTGTGCGATTGTCAACAATCATTTCTAGCTTCTGGCCAACGCTCAGATTCATTGATCGAAATCGCAAAATCATAATCAATATTTAAAAAGAAAAATTAAATAACCATGAATTACATGATTTTGCAAAGCGTAATAAAAAGTACTAATTTTTTGATGCGGATAGATCGTTTACACCATACACAACTTATTAAAAACAAATTAATAAAATTGCAACTTTTAGAATTAGAAAATACTCAACATAGTGTAAAGAAATTGGTATTTGATATAAAAATGAAAATTAAAAGTAAATGCATTGAATAAAACCACTTTACCATCATATTTGTGCTTCGTTTCTGTTTGAATTATTTAATTCTCATCTATTCTAATGCACTCAAATGCACTCAAATGCGACCCGGATCATAATCGCGTTCTCATGTTTAAAGTAAAATAGTGTTAAAAAAATTAAAAGAATAGCACATTTAATAAAAATAAATATTTGAAATTTATGAATAAATAGTTCCAAAGCAATCAGACTTTAATTCTTAAATTACATTATTTAAATTATTTTATTAATTGTTTACCCAAACATTAACATTTCTTCGTTTTGCTTCAGATGATTGAGAAAGGACGTGGCCTTAATTTAGAATTAGCTGCTGAATTAAATTAAAAGGTCAAGGTTCCTAATAGTTTCGTTTAAAATTATGCGATTTTCAAAATTTTTTATTGTTAAACAATAAAAATCCCTGAATCACATAAGTTTGAATGCTTCAGTTTTGATTAAGACTGTAATTGTATATAAATTAGGGCCTTTCGTTTAGATTCCTATATATATATTATAAATTAAAAAAATATGTTTAATAAGATATCCATTCGTATAAATATAAGTATCTTCGTTATGGCAATATTCGTTCGAATGCCAAAGCAAAGATTGATCATTATATTAAAAGTTTCGAGACTCATAAAATTAGCTTAAAATGAAGAAGTGTGAAAAGTGTAAAGTTATTCGTGAGGATGATCAATTTGTTTGGGGAGGTGTTCGACACGAAACATGCATTAAATGCAAAGAAAATCGTGATCGAAAAAAAAAAAATAAACAGAATCTTCTACCAGTCTTGAATTCAACAGATAGTGTTGAATCAATTGACCAATCTGAAGTCATTGGCCAAGAAATAGAACATGATGATAATGATGTATGTATTGAGATCGATTTTTCTGAGGTCAGTGACTTCATTGCAGATAATATTCGAGAAATAACATCAGATTCCGACGTTGATGGAGTAGCAGACATTGCCTACCAAACATGTCTATTAGTAAAAATGAATATGAATACTCAAAACATGACACCTAAAGAAATTGCTAATCTTGTCATTATTGAAATTGAAGAAGGAGATGACTTTTCATGGACGTATGTATAATTTATTAAAAACAAGTGCTGTATCTCGCGATTTAAACACCCACTCCTATAGAATTTTCATAGCTTTGTACTGGATGTCTTAATAATGATATAAATCTTATGTTTAATATTATATACATTATCCATGCTAATACCCAAGGTTGTTAAATTGTGGCTGATTAGACCGATTAGACATATAAAAAAAGCCATTAGACATATGAAGTCTAATGCTATTTTTTTTCATTAAACATAGTCTAAATAACAACCCTGTAATACTGTATTGATAATGATAAATAACCGCAAAAATTAAAATATCTAGATAAAAGCAAGTGAATGTTCTAAAGAAGGGGTGGTTTAGGCCACGAAATACGGTATTCAATAAAGGGATATCATGAAGGGAGTATATGTAGTAATAGACTAAATATAAATTAGAATCAATATTATTTGATCTATCACTTTATCTACTCCCTTAATGATTCTTTTTACCTTTTAATACTTAGCTAATATAATATATCTACTATAGGTTTCATGAAGCCGTTCACTCAAGAAAATATGGCAATACAGTTGGCAGGTTAACATATTTGTGTTGCCAGTCAAATGAGGCACAAAGCGAAGCATATAAAGAATCTAATCGCAAAAGACATGTTCGTCATAACTGTAAGGGTAAGATTACAGTGCGGGTTGATACAGTCGTCGGTTTTGCAAAGATAAATATTCGGCACGGATCCGTTCATCAACGACCAAACTTATGTGTTGAGATGCCAGAAGAACTACGTGAAGAGATTAAAGCCCATGCGTATCTTACAACAGTTCAGTTAACGACCCATCTACGACACCAAGGGTTCGATATTTCAAAGTATTCACAAAAGCGAATACACTATTGGAAAACTATAGCAAACAAAAATGTATTCCAACGTCATAATAATCAGGTAGAATCTGCGCGTAAGCTACTCAATGAATATAGAAATCAGGATTTCTATCAGTGCCTGGATATACAGGATTCAGAATCTACTGCAATAGCATTCACAACCCCGTTGTTAAAAGAACTTAGTAATAATAACATCCATGTAGCTGAGATTTACATGGATGCAACATATAAAACCGCTCGTGGACGTTACGAACTTTACGGTCTTGTCGCTGATGTTGATGGAACTGGTTTTCCTATCGCATATCTTATAATGGATACAATTAAGGCAACAAACACAAGTACTCATACAGGAAAACGTCGTATAATATTAGAACAATTCCTAAAAGCAATCAAGTCATATAATATTAATCCAAACTTCGTGTTTACCGATAAAGATTTCGCGGAGATTAATGCCGTATCTGAGGTGTGGGGAGCATCAGTGGTTTAATTGTGCGCCTGGCATATGAAGCGTGCCGTAAAACGTAAACTTGAAGAAAAAGCAAAACCATCAGGTAATATATAAATTAAAATAAAACCAAATTAGGGTTTGTTTTGACTATAAAAATTATTTTATATTTTACTTTCGTCTTATATGAATGTTTACCTTCTCTTAATAAATAATTACTTCGGCAGTTAGTTTATTAAATCGTTGCAAAATTACTTTTCATAGCCCTAAAATTATTAGTGAAATTATTTGAGTTATTAATCAAAATATATTAATTAGTATAGTTTTTTGTCGGTTCATATAAAATTTAGTTATAGAAAAATGATGAATGAAATTTAAGCACAAGATCTCTTTTTTTTTTTTTTTTTTTTTTTTATCATGCGCATTATTTATCCTAAATTTTACTTGTTGCAGGCAATGCTAGATTAATAACCATAAATTATAATACAAACGAAGCATCCAACGAATTTGACTTTATTGATCCCAGGTTTTACGCAACGGAAGAAGACCGTAATCCACAGTCATATGTTATATGCCCTTCTACTTTTCGAGAAAAAATTTTAGAATTGATGCAGAGGCATTTTGACTTACATCCCTTAATCCCCGTAGATGCACAAGGTGGTACGATGGAACCAGAGGCTATCAGAAAATGTGCTGTGAAGGAGATGTATCAATTCTGTACTCAAAATGGATTACGATTGCTCTGGGCCTACCTTTGGGCCAATTGGTATTCATCATGGAGGTGGCATCTTTGGGCTCGTTCAACTAAGCCCACTATACCCTACGGAAAAACGACAATGAAGATTGAAGGTCATTGGAGTGTTTTAAAACGTCATTACCTACAACGTTTTAACCAGCCTAGGCTGGATCTCATGCTGTGGACACTTTTGAACGAGGTGATTCCAGCCCAGAAAGACCGGCTTTCACAGATTCAGGCTGGTATAGTGGAACCGTCCTGGTGGGACGATTTTAAAAAGGCATGGATCTATGCTGGTGTGAATGAAGAGGAACGAGTAAAATTATGTTCAAATAGTCGTAGTAACAAAAGAAAGAGGAGTATTAATTTAATAATAACAAATCCAGAAAATTCATACTTTACCAGCCTTACTCAGTGGGTTTGTAGTTGCCCTGCATTTGTTAGTAGCCGTTTTTTATTGTGCAAACATCTGGTAAGGCAGGTCGTTAACTTACCTGATGGAAAAAGACGACGTTTAATCAGAAGTGAATTTGAGCGTCATACAACCCCCCATTTCTTATTATTCATGATTTTAATGCCATTAATACTGAATCGCCTGAAGCTTTAGTTGATGAAACATATGTTGATTGCACACATGATAATTACAGCATTGACGTTGATGAGGATCCAGACGAAGAAGCTCGTACCTATGTAGAATCAAACTGGGAATTGTTTACGCAAGCATTCAAGCGGGTTTGTTCAGAGAAATCTGAAAATAACTGGAAACAAGTTAGTGCGATGATAAAATGGAGTCGTTTGGTGCCAATGGAGAAAGATATTCAATCCGTAGAACGGAGAAGGCGTCAGCAAGCGACTTGGGCACCAGAAAATACTAAAAAACCGTATCTTATGTATTTTTCATGCCCAGAAGAGCCAATACAGTTGGAAAATATAGTAATTGATTAAACCTATATAGTATTAGTGAAAAAATAAAATGTAATTAATAAAAAAAAATAATGAAATTAAAAAAAATAGAAATTAAAGTCTATATACAGTCAACTTCGGATATAACGAACTGACTTTATAATGAACTTTTAAAAAAAATTATAAGAATTATCAGTTAGTTATAGAGTTGACTGAAGTAATTTCTATAAAACTGGCTTTTTTAAGTTTTAATTTAAAGATTTAGAGCAGTTTTTTATCGTACTAAAAGCGAAGAAAAGCTTCGCTTCATCTAATCTATGATGATCATCCAATCAGTCATCATATTAGAACTGCGGCCAGTGAGGTGATGTGATGCCGATCATCACCCGAACTTTGGGGGGTCCGCCCTGGGGTAATCGCGGAAACCGGAGCTAACGTGTTATTAGTGCTTATATAGACACGTGATGTGACGGTAAGATGTTAAAACGCGAGTCCCTGTTTCGCTTCAGACAAAAATTTTTTAGTAAAGTGATTGTAATCAACTTGGTGTCGATTCATAGGAGGTAAAATTCGGAATACATATTTGTATATATTACAATCGACTTGGCATAGTCAACTTAGTCGAGTCGATAATGATAATTTAGGCCGACAACACTACACGTAAATTTGTTTTTGTAGCACGATACAAATATAGGCAAGCAGCGTGACTGACGGAAAAATTGCGTTAATGATCTTTATATTAATAATATATCAAAAGCGTAATTTTATCAAAGTGTATATGTCTTCCGCTTCGTCCCGACAGCAACGTGTTAACGTTTAGATTACGGAAATGCAGCATTATAATATATTCTTCAATATATAGCGTTTGTATAACTATTTTTTGTGGTTTCACGTGAGGTTCCAAGACTATTTAATAACGCGAAAATCAAGAATCACAACTCGGTTTCTTTTTACTAAACTATTTGTGATTTAACTATGTCGGAACTTCTTAGTGTTGGAGTTATTAAAGAAATGTTTGAGGCCGTCAGCGAGGACGGGCCAAGACCAGAGAATCCAGTGCTTCAGGTGGTAAGATTTTCCGCAAACCAAAATAATCCGAATGAATCACTTCAATCGAGAGTTAGGTACGTTTGCTTTTACTTGAATCAGTCTGGCTATTTAATTGGGTTACGACGCGTCTTTATTCTTGATATGATGCCAATTTTGCTTACACATTCTGTATATTTACTAATTTAATATGACTATATTTCTGTTTCACATATAGAGTAGCCTTTTCTGACGGACAAGAACTTGTATCAGGTCTTCAATCAAGCAGTAGTTTTTTTTTTTCTTGTATTAATGAGCTAAACACTCACGATTTGTGGTAACACAGGCATTATACCAGTTAATCTTTTAAGAAGCGTGAGTGGTGGCAGGTTGGAAAGAGGCCAGCTCCTTAGGTTGACACACTACAGTTGTAATATTAGTCAAAGCACTAAAGGGCAACAACCCCAAAAGTAATATTTTCGTTTATTTTCTAAAGTTGTCAGACTATCTTTTACTTTTTAATCTTTGATTCTTATGTTAGAGTAATAGTTGTTAGTAACTACGAGGTAGCAAGTAGTGAATTACAACCAATTATCGGTAATCCATTTCCTGGCCAAGACACTGTCACCGAACGTTCTAGACCTTTGGCAAACCCAAATCCTCAATCTTTAACACCACCACATCATCAACCTTTGGCACCACCAAATCCTCAAATTTCTCAACAACCCTCCCCAACGTTTCCGAGATCTGTATCTGGCGTCCAGCAACAAATGGGACCACCTACACCTACCTTTAACGGATCTACTTTTAATGGAGGAAATGTTATGAGATCAAGGTGAGTTTTGCAATAGATATATAGTATATTAATTTGAGAAAGTCACTTACATGAACTTCACTTTAGTTCCAACAATATGCGACGATCTTCAACAGGCCTTGCTGATGAAGGGATCTTCCCTATCAATTTACTTAGCCCGTATCACAACAAGTGCGTCGAGTTCACATATTTAATGAATTTTTGTAAATTTTGAATCTCACATTATTATTTGTAGGTGGAAGATCAAGGTGGTCGTTGGTGCAAAATCAGACATAAAACATTGGCAAAATCAAAATGGTTCGGGAAAGTTATTCAATGCAACCTTATTGGATGATAGTGTAAGTTATAAGTGGAATGATTAACAGTCAAAATTGATTTTTATGACGCAATATAATCGTTTGTTGTTTAGGGAGAGATAAGAGTAACAGCTTTTGGGCAACAAGTAGACGCCTTTTACGATAAATTGGAGGAAGGAAAAGTATGATATGACTCAAATTATCTCATGAAAAAATAAAAGTAAACTAATAATATCCTATGTTTTCAAATTACCTATTCACTAGACTTATCTTATTTCAAAAGCAAAGGTTAATGTGGCTAAAAAAAATTTCTCGCCGGTTAAGAACGATTATGAGATATATCTTGAGAGTGGATCTATAATTGAAGAGGTTGCTAATAGGAATCCAACTGACCTTATAAAGTTTGACTTTGTTCGAATTGAGAATATATCACAATATGAAAAAGATAGTAACATTGATGTTATAGGTATGGTCATTAATGTTGATGACATTCAACAAATAACGACCAGAACCACACAAAAAAATATCAATAAGCGTGACCTTACAATTGCCGATCAAAGTGAATATCAAATCACACTGACATTGTGGGGTCAAGCCGCAGAAAAGTATGGACCTAGTATATTGAATACAGTAATCGCTTGCAAGAATGTGCGCGTCGGAGACTTTGCAGGTCGAAACCTTTCGGTATTTAATGGTACTTCGTTTCTTGTCGATGTAGATATCAAGGAAGCGAAAGAATTACGTGATTGGTATACTTCACGAGAGGAAGGTAGACCTTTCGCCTCATTATCCTCGTCAGGTTCTGTAGCAATAGATAAAAATGAACCAAAAAAAACATTGGTACAAGTTAAAAACGAGAAGCTTGGTCACAACGAACGGACTGATTATTTTTCGGCAAAAGCGACCATTCTATTTATCAAAAAAGAAAGTGTTTCCTACCCAGCTTGTCCAACATGCAAGAAAAAGGTTCTTGAAGATGGAGATGAATGGCGATGTGAAAAATGTTCACGAAACTATTCGGAGCCTGATCATAGGTAGGTATTTAAGTATTACTTGTTCGAATTATATTAGATGACCTTTTCTTGAAGTATATAATTCATAATTTAGGTATATAATGACGATTAGTGTCTCAGATTTTTCAGAAAATGCCTGGTTTCAATGCTTTAATGAAGGTGCAATTGCTATCATGGGACGTGAGGCTAAGGAGCTGCTTAAACTACGTGTAATTATTTTTTTAACTTTGTTTTTTCCTCACAAGCTTTACAGATTATTAATTTTGATGTAACAGGATGAAAACGTGGAACTTTATGAAGAATGCTTTGACCAAGCGTGCTTAAATTCTTTCGTGTTTCGATGCCGTGCTAAAACCGAAATTTATAATGTAAGTAATATTGTTCGATGGTTTATTAATATTATTGCCCTATACTAATATATTTGTGTACTTAATGTTAGGAACAAACTAGAATTAGGTATACTGTAACAGGTATAGCACCAGTTGATTATGCCGCACGGGCTCGAGAGCTATATCAGGAAATAGAGATGATGAGCAATTAGATCATTTGATGTTTTTGATCGTGACCGATTATAATAATTTTTTCTTGAGTATGGTTGATCGATAATTGATCGATCATTAAATAGTAATGCACCACTCGTAATATATTCACTACAATATGCATATTTTTCATAATTCGATTGTTCACGCTATTTGTGCTACTTATAAATTCAAATAACTTTTATGCTCAGATTAATTAACGCAAATAAAAATTTTCAATTTTAAAATTCAAAATCCAAATAACATATTAATGGTTTGATTTAGGGTTTTGCAATAAATAAAAATAGAGTATCGGTATATTTATTTTTTATCTAGGGTGAGATCTCCTCTAAATTTGCCAATAACGTATGTGTAACAAAACAAATAATTTTTTAAAAATACGCTAATATCTCAAATTCTGCCTAGTGATTTAAGCCGTAAGGTTTTGGTCGGCTGGCTAATAGCTAAGTGCCAATAGCCTACTTTCGGAATATTTCGGAATACTTTCAGAATGCTACAGCTTACATTACTAAAATTTGGTCTATTCTACGTATTTATAATCTAAATTAATATTTAATTTATTTTTACTATATTCGGCAAATTTAAAATTTTAACAAATTCTAAAATTCTTTTTTTTTTTTTTGGTGTTCAGGTGAAATTTTGCCCTTAACTTTATTTATTGTTAATACTTTTATTATATGTATTGCTACATTTTCATATTACAGTTAAGCCTCTTTATAATTACATATTTGGTTTTAAGAATTTGGTGATTATAGAGAGTTTGTGTTTATATAGAGGTTAAATTTTATAAGTGTTATATAGATTGGTTTTAATAATTTATGTAATTATAAAAAGGGTATAGTAACTTAGTGTAGTTGATAAGTTGTTGTTAGGACAAGAGTTTGAATCCCACTGGCGATGAAATTTGAATTTGTGAAAATGTGTTATAGTAAAACTGTATAACATATCGATTGGGTAAGCATCTGTGACTTTGGTCTCACCAACTTGTATTGGGAGGTTGTGGAACATAGTGTAATGTATGAGTTATACAAAATCCAAGTAAAGCAGCCAAATAAATCCAAGGGATTGGAGATACAGAAGCCTACTTAAAAAGTCCTGAATAGAGAGGTAGTATAGATCTTCAATAGTACTATATAAAGGATTATCATCTAGAAAACTGGACATTAGCAGTAAACAAAATAAGAACCGAGTGTTTGGCAAGCACTACACCAACCAGATTATCAGACCAGCTGAAGGAAAAAAGATTTATTCGAAATACCAGAGGATGTCAACTGGTCTTCCCAAACTATCTGGATTGGAAGTTTGGGGCACCATTAGTTAGCATCGAAGTACTGTTGATAGTTCATAAAGTAGATACTGAGGTTTGGGTAAATTTTGCAAGAATACAGAATAGATAATGGTAGCAAAGGTAAAAAGTTACAAGTATTTGGCTGTGGTCTAGGTGTAAGTTATCGAAAATCTAGGTGATACATGTGTGGGTTATGGACCGTTCTAGTAGGTTTATCACAAGGATAAAGTAGTCCTAAAGGACCTTAGTAGCAGTTTCTCTTTGGAGAGAATACCTGACAGTGCTAAGTTGATCAGAGGGTTTAATTGGATAACTCAAGTAATAGTGAGTTATAGGTACAGTATCTAGTATAGTTTATATGGATTACATATGCAAGACTGCTTAATTGACGATTCTCCAGTCAACTGAAGAATGATCATAGTGAAACGTAACGTGGTTCTATATATAAATTACTATAAATGCGAAAATAGAAATTTTCTAGTGATTGTCCAAAGAAAACTTTTTTTTCGTACTAAGTTAATCATCTTTGAGTCTCTAATTAAAG